ATAAACTCATTCTGAGAAGAAGAAGAGGCGAGACGTACCATGGCCCTTGGACGTAGGCTGCGATCCACAGCCAGTGCTGGACCGCTTCCTCGGTGCTGCCTGCTCTAACAATGCGCCGGAGACGACGAGGTCGTCGTAGTTCTTGATGCACCCGGACGTCTCGAACACCTTCACAGTGAACACCATGTTCCCTTCGTACTTGAACACCAGGAAGTTCTCCTCCTCCAGCCTGTTGGCCCTCACGAACTCGGCCCAGCCGCCGGCGAAGTAGACGTCGCTGTCGCCGCCGTGGCCGTCTCGGACCACGTCGACGTGCCAGAATTTGCCCAATGGGCTCATCAGGGTGGCCCGCCGGAGCCCGGGCTCCGCTGCCAGGTGCCGCCGCATGAACTTGGCCGGGATCGGCATCTTCTCCATGAAGTCCGTGAAGAGCACCTTGAGGAACTGAGGCTTGCCGCAGGGAGCCTTCCGGTTGCTGTCGGCGGCCATTTTTCTATCGTGTGGACCGCGCAGCAAGTTTTTCCAGAGCACACACCAGAGGATGAAGAGGAAGAATAGCAAGGGAACAGTTATTATAGGCGTTACTGTAGATTTGGGGCCAATATGTTTAGCATTGAACATGGGAATTTAATCTGGCTGTCATGGAATGGCTTCATTTCTCTTTCGTGAATTGGAATCTTTAGCTGGAGCTTTTAGAGCAGCCGGTGCAATTACAGAGCACGGGTCACATATTTTGCTAGTAAATGTGAAGGAATGAGGGGCCTCTCTGATTTGAAGATTTTTAGAAGTCGCAGGATTGCATTGACACGTCCTCACATGGTTGAAACTTGAAAACAATAAAATTTGGTAGCAAAGCGATTACACAACACAGTTGGACTCTTTGATTATTTGGAGGGCCGAATTTCTTTTACATGTTTTTTTACAGGGATATGAGTTGTTTGGTTTATATGAATCATAAGTATTCTTTTTGCATCCACCCAAAACGCCCGATTCACCATTTCCCTCGTCGGCAGATCTCCCTCAAATTCTGCATCCAGAGCGTTCTACTCTTTAGCATGGAAACCCTAGGAGCACCCTTTTTTTCTACACATGTAAGAGCATCTACAGCCGGACGCCCGGGTCCCGTCAAGTCATTGGCCGTCACGAAAATTTGACCTAGGCGGGCGCCATGAACGGGCCTCAAGCGCCAGGGCTGATCGGCACCCCTCTTATCCAGCCCAAATATGGGGTGGGTATGGGGTGGCCCGGGCACGCCCAGGCGCGTCTGCCTGACAAGTCCAGCTTAATACCGACCCCACGTCTGTCCCACAAAAAATTTCATCTGGCTCATCGCTCCGAAACCCTAACTCACTCACGCTCTCCTCTCGCTTCGTCCTCTCCTCTCCCCGCACCGATTCCGATCGCATCCGGGGCAATGTCGAGCTCCGGCAGTCGCTCCGACTTCGAGCTGGATCCAGGCTTTGAGCTTGCCCTCCACATCGCCTTGGAGCGGTCCAAGGTGGACACCGGGGCAGCTCCGGATCTGCAGCTTCCCCGCCGGCGCTGACCCCTCTGGGCCCGTGCATAGTTCCGACAGGCGGCCTGCACAATCCGCGCCTCCCCTATGCCGTCCCCTGCTCTTGCTGGTTGCGCGCGCCGCCCGCTGCGAGAGGCAGCGGGAAAGGGAGAGGAAGGAGGCGGAGCAGTCCATGCACCGCCGCCGCGGGATGCAGGCGGAGCCTGACGAGGATGCGCGGCTCCTTGAATGGGTCTACCGCCGGTTGCTTACGATCGCGGAGACGGACGCGCGGCGGCTCCGCCAGAAGAACGCCAAGGTGCTCCGGATTGCCATTGAGCAGTCCGAGCGCGAGGCGGCGGAGGCGGCTCGGTTCGCGAAGCTCAAGCGGCAGCAGGCCAGGGAGGTCTGACGGTTGAAAGCACTCATCATCCTCTCTGACACCTCCGACGACGACTCGTACGATCCACCACCAACCGTTGACGCCTACAGCTACGCCGGCGACCGCAAGGGCAAAGGGCTGGCGAGGAAGTGGCGAAGCTCCGCCATCTCTGTCTTCAATTTCAAGTTTTTAGTAATCTAGTTCAAACTTGTCCGTCGTGTATGTGAATTATGTGAACTTTGGCGATCTTTTGGACATCCGTCGGTGATCTTTTGGTGATCGGAATGTGCATTTCTATGTTCGATTCTATGTGTGTGTGATGATCTATGTTTTTTTCCTACGTTGCATGCTTAGTATGGATATGAGGTACCGGATATTAGATATTTGGATGTGGACGACAAGATTTAAGGAGTGTCCGTGGATGCGCCCGGATGCGACCGCGGGCATTTAGGAGCCCGGATTTGCAGGCCGCGGCTGTAGATGCTCTAACATTATCGCAACATTGCCAACCAACTTGTGGTTGGATGGTTAGGAGGACAATAATATGCCCACAACCCACCAGACTTCCCGTCCTAGACTTGACACCGGGTGCTCGTATTTTTCTGAATTTATTTCAATTCTTCCGGCAATGTGCATTCAGTGGGAGGAGATGTTTCTGTCGACTACGAAAGCGTTTGTATCGACCTCGCCAATCTCAAGATGATGTGCTAGTCCAGTCTCTCAGAGGTGCTCATATGGGCAGGGCGTGCGTGTGTGCATTCACAAAGGTATGTGTATGTATGAGCTCTGCGCCTGTATTATGTTAAAAAATAACGAAAAAATTAACTCACGACGAGAAGGGTGGCAAGCGAACCCTTTTTGATAAGGTAAGTGTTTGGGCCTGGTGCGCCGGCCGAAGCACTCGGCCGGTCGCTTCCCTTTTTCACGCGCGGGACACGCTGACAGGCGCGCGTTTAGTTGACCCAACCGTTTTTCACTTTTTTTTTCTTTTTTCTTTGCTTCTTCTTCCTTCCGCCAGCCGTCTGACCCCATCTCATCTTCCCCATTGTAGCGCGTGGAGCAGCTCGCCGTCGGTCATGGATATAGATTGCAGCCCCGCTCGCCTTCCCACCTCTTCTTTTTCCTTCTCCCTCTCTTCCCTTTTCCTCCTCCTCTCTTCCCCTTTTGTTGCAACCGGCGACAGGCAAAACGCCGGGAGGACCGAGGTACCCGTGCTACAACCATGGCCACGGGGAGGAGTTGCAACCGCGGTACTGGGAGAGTTGCAAACGGCGTTTTCCCGTGCTACAACCATGGACACAAAAAGCTATATCCGGTAGATAAAAAAGCTTCAACCAGACAACAAAATAGAGGAAATGTTACAACCGTTTGACCAAAAGCTTCAACCTGCAGATGAAAAAGCTTCAACCAGAGATTGAGAAATCTTCCTCGACGACGGCCATGGCGTCTCTCTGTGATTTTGCTGCGACCGAACGATAGAGGAAGATTTCACCCAGGCGCTGCTCAAAACGAAAAAGTTTCAATGGTTTACAGAAAAGCTTCCATCGTAGAGGGGAAAAGCTTCAACCATTTGTGAGAAAAGCTACAACCGTGTCAATTTTTTGCTACTACCGTCTGTGTGTTTTGCTACATCCATTCATGCGGCCATGGCGCTTTTTTACGATCGAGGCGTGACCGGCGACGACGAAGACGCCATTTTTGTTGCAACAACCTCGTTTTTTGCTACCAGTGGCGATGTGTTTTGCTACATCCATTCACGAGGCCATGGTGCTTCAAGCGCGGCGGCGAGTTCCGGCAGCGTTCACGGATTAGCTACAACTGCGGCGAGTGTTGCATGTGTCGATGGCCGGTAGCGACGGAGTTGTGACGAACTTCATCGCCAAGTTGCGGCTGACGGCGGAGGTGGCTAGCTGCCATCCGCGGGGGGTGGGGGATGGGTGTTGCGAGGTCAACGGCCGGCGGAAGGCGGCCCGCGGTGCCGTGCGGCGAGGGGCGGGGGTGTGGCGAGGTGCAGCCTGCGGCGAGGGGCGGGGGCCCGGTGAGGTGCAGCCTGCTGCGGTGCGCTGCCGCGGGGCGAGAAGCAGGTGCTGTGCGATGCAGGATGATTTTTTCAGAGGGATCTCGATCTGGATCGCGCAGATCTGACGACCCCGGCTCGCGCATCGGACGGCTGGTGCTGGACCGGCCCAACAGTTGGGCCGGCGCACCGGCGCAGATCAGCGCCCTTTTGATAACGGCTTTTGTTATGAGATGAGATCAACCTATGGCAGTTTAGAAATGAAAATTGACTTCTCTAACAG